ACTTTTCTGTAGGCCAAAATTTGTTATGTTTGTAAAAACCAAATTAATAGAGGAAAAGTAGCGCAAAAGTTAGCTCGCTCACCTCAGAAGCATAAGATCGGTGTTTCGAGGCCGAATCTGGGCGGGTTTTATGACATCAGTGGGGAAGAAGACGTGAACTTTCTTTCAAATGCTCGCCCGAGTCGCTCTGTGATTAGACCGTAAGTACTTTTTCGATCACATAAAATAAAAAATAAAAAATATAAAAAAACTATTTACACTCTTTTTCATCAATTTTGAGGACAACACTTGAGTAGATGTTGTCCTTTCCATTCAGTGACTGTGTGGCCAATTGAAGATTGCACTTCTTTTCCTTAGTGTGAGTGCCTTTACTTTTTGTGCTAACTTCGAGATTGTGTTTAACATCAGTTTTTTTTTTTTTCTTTAAATGGATCCTAAGTACAATTTGTTTCATCTTTTATAAAAAGGCAACCTAAATAAAGAAAGCTTTAAATTTATTTCGCAAATTTTAAAAAATCAAAAGTTAAAACTTAAGTAAGTGATCAAAGTATTATATTCTAACTCTAAATGACTTTCTTTTAACTCAAAGTTCAATCTTATCACTTATCATGATATAAAGAATAAAAACTATCTTCGCCATTCTTTTATTTTTTATGCTTAGTGTAGTTAAGAAATGATCCTAACGTAATGCTTTCCTTAAAATTAAAACTTTCTAAAATTAAACGTCAATTTTTTGTGTTTTAAACTTGTTTTTATTAACAGCCTAAAGAAAGAAAAACTTAAGTTTAATTTATTTATATAGCTCTTTTGTTGCGAACTTTAAACTATTTTTAAATAGTTGTTTTACCTGTGTTACTATTTTTATTAATAAACATTTATATTCAAAAAAAAAAAAAACAGTTAGATGCTAAGTTTGATTTGGGCTTTGCAAACTAACTCGCATATTAATATACTTCTCCATATCACTCTTAATACTTCTCCATTCCACTCATTGCTGTATCTCTTATTACTAATTTTTGTTATAGTCATTTATATACAGTCCGTTTGTTGCTAGGTATGCAATCGGCATCGCAAACTCACTCGTAACGTAATTGACTTTTTTATTCCGCTCATTGCTATACTGATTAAACAACAGTAAAACTTTATTAGTAAGTATAATACAAACAAAAGGTCGATGTGTTTAAGCATGTATACAAACACATCATTTTAACGATAAGCAGTTTTTTTGTGATTGTTTCATGAAAATTTCTACATTCGAATAGCTACTTCATCTGTATTAATATTATTATTAATACATAAAGTCCTTTACTTGTTAGGCTCGCAAAAAAGACGTTTAGAATTTTAATGAGACGGACAAACGCGATTTGAACGTCCTAAAGACGTCTTTTTTACGTCCTGTGCCCAATAGGTTGTGTGGCGCTTAAGCTAGAGATAATGCTACGTGGTGTAGCTATTGATATATGAAAACACTAAAAGCTAGGGTTGTACTGTTTTAAAAAACTTTAGCCCAATTTATTCTGTAAAGTGAAATGTAATAATCTTTTTTTATATTTAAAAAGCCTTATGTGTAAAATACGTAGATGTTCGTTTTACAAATAAAAATTATATTTATACAGTTTTGACATTAACTTGCAAAATGCATAGTTTATTTAATGTAATTTATTTTGCCTATCTTAGACGGCTGTCAAAAAAACATGTCGTTATTGACTTTTTAAGCAGCCGAATAAATTAAAACTTAGTTATTATATTTGTAATAAAAAAACACCTTTTTTGATTTTCATAATAATCATATAAAGCATTTTTTTACTCACTTAGATATAACTTAAAGCAAAACTATACTTTTTAATCGTTAAAAACTGCAACAAAAAGAAATTCTTGATAAATAGTGTACAAAGCTCGCTATAAACATGACTAAGAAACTTTAATTAACTATATTTTTTTTAAACATGTCTTATTGCTTTTTTATTAACGTACTCGCTTATATCACTATATTAATGTTTTTCATCCATTTTCATCCATTAATTAAATACTTTTTTTAGCAATTTTTATTGTTTATTTTTTAATATATGAAAAATGCACATTAAAGTCACATCACCATTTTTTTTACACTAGCTCAACAACGTAACGTTTTTACAAGTGATAACCTGCTAAAACTAATTAAGATGAACATTACCTTAATTACTAATTGCTTCCTGTCCTTTAACAATCTGACAAAAAGATATAAAAACCCTATCGTTTACTAAACAAGTCGTAGTAAAATTATGTTTACTTACCAAGTCAAAATGCGGAAACACATAAAAACTAAATATTGAAATAATATAATATAAACATTAGCAACTAGCTAAATCCTGGTACTGCGGGTAACAGTAACATATATACTATACGGCCTAAAAAACTCTATTCAGCTCTCTTTATTAACTATAACATTATACATGATAAACAAAATCATATTCTCTTTATTATATGTTCACAAAAACATGAAGAAACCTTTTGTAAACTACAAGCATCAATTTTGTAAACAACACACTAATATATTATTATTTTAATATTGAAGATCCGCTATATTAAATTTAACGGCTTACAAGTTATATTATATTTTTGGAACAACATTTATAAAAAAAAACAAAAGATTTAAAAACCCTATATGTCATAAAAACTTTTAACCTTCTTTTTTTTTATGTAACAAAAAAAAAAAAGATTTACAAAAGAATAGCAGAGAGAGCTTTGTGACCCTAACTTTTCTGTAGGCCAAAATTTGTTATGTTTGTAAAAACCAAATTAATAGAGGAAAAGTAGCGCAAAAGTTAGCTCGCTCACCTCAGAAGCATAAGATCGGTGTTTCGAGGCCGAATCTGGGCGGGTTTTATGACATCAGTGGGGAAGAAGACGTGAACTTTCTTTCAAATGCTCGCCCGAGTCGCTCTGTGATTAGACCGTAAGTACTTTTTCGATCACTTAAAATAAAAAATAAAAAATATAAAAAAACTATTTACACTCTTTTTCATCAATTTTGAGGACAACACTTGAGTAGATGTTGTCCTTTCCATTCAGTGACTGTGTGGCCAATTGAAGATTGCACTTCTTTTCCTTAGTGTGAGTGCCTTTACTTTTTGTGCTAACTTCGAGATTGTGTTTAACATCAGTTTTTTTTTTTTTCTTTAAATGGATCCTAAGTACAATTTGTTTCATCTTTTATAAAAAGGCAACCTAAATAAAGAAAGCTTTAAATTTATTTCGCAAATTTTAGAAGAAATCAAAAGTTAAAACTTAAGTAAGAGATCAAAGTATTATATTCTAACTCTAAATGACTTTCTTTTAACTCAAAGTTCAATCTTATCACTTATCATGATATAAAGAATAAAAACTATCTTCGCCATTCTTTTATTTTTTATGCTTAGTGTAGTTAAGAAATGATCCTAACGTAATGCTTTCCTTAAAATTAAAACTTTCTAAAATTAAACGTCAATTTTTTGTGTTTTAAACTTGTTTTTATTAACAGCCTAAAGAAAGAAAAACTTAAGTTTAATTTATTTATATAGCTATTTTGTTGCGAACTTTAAACTATTTTTAAATAGTTGTTTTACCTGTGTTACTATTTTTATTAATAAACATTTATATTCAAAAAAAAAAAAACAGTTAGATGCTAAGTTTGATTTGGGCTATGCAAACTAACTCGCATATTAATATACTTCTCCATATCACTCCTAATACTTTTCCATTCCACTCATTGCTGTATCTCTTATTACTAATTTTTGTTATAGTCATTTATCTACAGTCCGTTTGTTGCTAGGTATGCAATCGGCATCGCAAACTAACTCGTAACGTAATTGACTTTTTTATTCCGCTCATTTAGTTGATAACTTTATTAGTAAGATTAATACAAACAAAAGGTCGATGTGTTTAAGCATGTATACAAACACATCATTTTAACGATAAGCAGTTTTTTTGTGATTGTTTCATGAAAATTTCTACATTCGAATAGCTACTTCAGCTGTATTAATATTATTTTTAATACATAAAGTTTTTTACTTGTTAGGCTCGCAAGCGGCTATGCAAACCAACTCGTATAGTGCTTTACTTTTACATCTCGCTTTTTTCTATACTGATTGCACAACAATAAAAAATTATTGATCAGAATCCTACTAATAAATAGTCGATGTATTTACATATATATATATATATATATATATATATATATATATATATATATATATATATATATATATATATATATATATATATATATATATATATATATATATATATATATATATATATGTAGGTATTACTCTAACGCCATCTATATACATTTTACGATAGTATCAAAGTAGTTTGAAATCTTGTTTCGACTGGTTTAATTTTTTTAATTAGACTTATTTTTTAGTCAAAATTTTTGAACTTCACTAATAGCTAATTACTAAAGTTAAGTAATTGGTTGTTAGCGAAGTTCAAAATTTTAATATTGTAATATTTCAAAAAGTTCATTAACTAATGTACTGGTCTTATTATTTCGATTAGAACAATATAAAAGTTGTTAATTAAAGTTATTAAATTATATTGATTTATCAGCATAAACTCTTTGTCATTTTAATAGGTTTTCCTTTTTGTAAATTTGACTATGCATAAGATTCTGCAATGTCTAAGATTTACAAACAGTCAAAACTTGGTTCTTGAAATAGTATATCAATTATTATACTTGAAATACTATATCAAGTGTCAAGTTTATACTTAATATACATATATAGTATATCATATACCCAGTTTTTAATTAATTATTTCAATATTTGTATTACTTTCAATATATCTATCAATATAATTACGATTCTCAAGTAATTAACTGTTTAAAAAAATATATATATATATATATATATATATATATATATATATATATATATATATATATATATATATATATATATATATATAAATTAGCAAGTACCTGTCTATAATTCGCTTTTCTTAAGGTGTTTTTAAAATTCTCCTTTAATCATTGGGAAGTTCCAAACCTTGATTTGGCAATATTTCAAGAAGATTATTAACTAATTTACTGGTTCCATTATTGAATTGCTCAATGTTGTCGAGTAAAAAGACATTAAATTCAAAGAATTTTCAGGATAATTGTTCTATGTATCATTAACAGGTTTTCCTATTGAAAAATTCGATTCTGCATGAAATCTTTGAAATTGTTAAAACTTGGTTCTTGATATAGCAATACTATACTAATGGTATATCAAGTATATATATACATAGTTTAGCATATATTCAGTTTTAAACCGTTTCTTTCATTATCTGTAAAAATTTCATTACCTGTATCAATTACCACAATTTTCAAGTAATTGATAACAAAAACAAAAATTAGATGGAACGTGCCTATTAGTCGTTGTAAAAAGACTTCTTTTGTAATTGAAAAAAAAAACTTTATTAAAAATGCGCTACTTAAAAATTTAAAGAAGTTTTAGTGCTTGCGTGATTTAACTGATTTTTTTTTATTTAATAAAGCATTCTGGATATTTATTGGACAAAAAAAAATTTTAATGAGACGGACAAACGCGATTTGAACGTTCAAAGGACGTCTTTTTTACGATAAGAGTTTTAACAATTTCAAAGATTTCATGCAGAATCGAATTTTTCAATAGGAAAACCTGTTAATGATATCAATAGCTACACCACGTAGCATTAGAGATAATGCTACTTGGTGTAGCTATTGATATATGAAAACACTAAAAACTAATTTTGTACTGTTTTAAAAAACTTTAGCCCAATTTATTCTTTAAAGTGAAATGTAATAATCGTTTTTTAAATTTAAAAAGCCTTATGTGTAAATTACGTAGATGTTTTTTTACAAATAAAAATCATATTTATACAATTTTGACATTACCTTGCAAAGTGCATAGTTTATTCAATGTAATTTCTTTTGCCTATCATAGACGGCTGTCAAAAAAACATCTCGTTATTGATTTTTCAAGCAGGCGAATAATTCAAAACTTAGTTATTATATTTGTAATAAAAAAACACCTTTTTCGATTTTCATAATCATATAAAGCATTTTTTTACTCACTTTGATATAACAAAAACATGAAGAAACCTTTTGTAAACTACAAGCATCAATTTTGTAAACAGCACACTAATATATTATTATTTTAATATTGAAGATACACTATATTAAATTTAAGGGCTTACATGTTATATTAGTTTTACCCAGAGGGTAAAATTAATATAGTGTATGGTGGTTTGGTAAGTGATTTATTTAGTTCTTTTTCTTTATTTTTTATAGTTTATCTACACTTTTCATTTTTTTTTTTTTTTTTTTTTTTTGTTCTTTATTACAATATTTAATACAATATTTACAAATATATAATAAGAAAAATTTACATCCAAAAAAATCGTTACAAAAAAATAAAGAATTAAGATAAAGAACGCGGATACTCAAAGAAGACCATACAGGTCTTGTCACCGAGAACCGCTGTTGAAGAACTTTGATTTTAGTTTAGATTTTAGGAAAAACAAAAATAAATAAACACAAGTTTTTAACTTTTTTAAGTTATGGTCTTTATGGCTGGAATTAAATACTAATTCTTCTGAACCGGATGATTCAAGCGAAAACAATAATATCATAGTATTCTTAATAAATAAATACGTCTCGCATCTGACTCGATCACTGATTCTTGTTACTCAAATCTATCAGTTACACTGATCTTAATTGTTAATTAATTAATAAATAAACGAAAATAATAAGAATATGATTGCACTAGGTACATCCAAATGCACTTCAAGATTATCCAAAAGATTGTGTAGAAGAATTTAGATAGCTAAATGATGGTGTCATTGTGTGAGAAGCCAAAATTATCAAATGTTGGTGCATTTACGTTAACGCTTTCGCCGACAAAAATGCTAAACTACTGTCAAAGGATGATTAACTTCCAAAAGTATCATACATACAATGTTTGCAGATACATCCAGTTACATACATCAAATTTTTTTTTTTTTTTTTTTTTTTTTTTTTTTTTTTTTTTTTTTTTTTTTTGTATAATAATATATATATATATTTTTTTTTTATTACAAAATTAAATTCAATATTAAAAGTATATACCGTTCGTAATACAAATTATTTACAAAATTACGAAATAAAATAAAAATTAAAGTAAACAAGTAAATAATAAATGCCTACTGTACAAATAATGTCAGTGGAACTTTTAACAAAATTCAAATAATGATGTTTAACTACAGTTTCTGACATAAACTTTAAATCAATATTGTATAAAAGTAAAATATAAATGAGTGTTGACAAAACTGGGTAAAATTAAAAGTATATAAATATATATTTTCAATTGAGAATATTACTTTTTTTAGTTTTCGTTTGAACATATAATAATTCCATTCATGAGAAAAATCAAAGTTTTTTAAAATTATTTGGTTCCATAAAAAAGCTCCACGAAAAGAAATGCAAAATTTACCAAAGTTTGCTTGAAATTTTGGTTGTTTAATAAAATTATCATTTCTTAAAGAATATTTGTTTTTTTCTTTTAAAGAATATAAATCAACAAAGGAAGCTGGAGAAGAGTTGGTTTTACATTTAAACATAAAACAAAGAACATTATAAACATTTACTTGATATATATTAAAAACATTCATGTTAAATAAAAGTGACCTTGAGTAAGTAAAACGATTTTTGAAATTTATAATACGTGCAATATGCTTCTGCTGACAATAAAGTGGCTTTAATTTACTTTTATGGGTACTACCCCATGCAATATTAGCATAATTAATATGACAGTGTATGAAAGAGTAATATAGTTGAGTTAGTGAATGTTTGTTTAAAACGCTATATAAAACTCCAATGCTTTTTGCAATTTTGTTGCATAAATGTCCGATGTGATTCTTCCATGATAGATTTTCATCAACAATGATACCTAGAAAATTTGTGAAAACTACTCTTTTTATTTGAATATTATCAATATGAAGAAGAGGCATATTACTTGGAAGTAAATGTTTTTTAAATCGTGGATGATAGAAAATCCATTTAATTTTATCAATGTTGAGTGAAAGTTTATTTAACTTAAACCAGTCAGATATTTTTATTAGTTCAATGTTCATATCATAAAAAAGTTTGTCGATGTTATTATTTGATAGGAATAGGTTTGTATCATCAGCAAACATTAGAGTTGTTAATTTTGAGACTTCATGGAGATCGTTAACATAAATTAGAAATAATAAGGGCCCTAGTATAGATCCCTGTGGAACTCCACAGGTTATATTTAGATAATCTATATTTAAATAATCTTGTGAAGAAGATCCGTCGATATAGACAAATTGTTAGCGATGTTTTAAATAGCTTTTTAGTAGTTTTAAAGCATTACCGATGATACCATAATGTTCAAGTTTTTTAAACAGTATTTCATGGTCAATTGTGTCGAAAGCCTTAGATAAGTCTATAAAGACGCCTAAAGTGAACTCTGACTTTTCGAAAGAATCAGTTATACTACGAGTAAGATGAACTATTGCATGTTCAGTAGAATTATTTCTTTTAAAACCATATTGGTTTATGTAAAGTATATTATTAATAGCAAGATGATTAGATATTTGATTAAACCAAACTCTTTCTAAAATTTTTGAAAAAACAGAGAGGATAGATATTGGTCGATAATTACTGACATTAGACGGTTCACCTCCTTTAAATACAGACGTTATTTTGGCTATTTTCAATTGATCGGGGAAAATTCCTTGATTAATAGAACATTTAAAAACTTTATCATATCATATCATATCATTAAAAAAACATTAGTGTTTTACAAATTTTGGGTTGGTGGGTTTTTGGCTATTTGTAGTGAGTCCTTTTTTACTGCAGTATGGATAAGGCGTAAGTCGCGGGGTAAAGCACAAGTGGCGATGACGTTTGTCTGACAGGATAAACTAGTTATAAGTGCTGATCCTCATCGAAACGCCTGTAATAATAGACGCGACTCTGAGGAGATGTTTATTACTTAATCACTACATTAATTATGTTTACACATTAGCGTTAATGTTCTTTTTCTATTCTGAGTCCTTACATTGTTGTATCCATATTTTTTTGTTTTTGTTTTTTTGTTTCATAAAAAACTGGAATAGTAATCTTAAGAGAGTCAATTCCACTTAATAATTTTTTAATGATTATTATTTGTTTAATAAAACAATTATTTAAAATAGTATAAATAGCAAATTAAAATTTTTTTGTAAACAGGGTTGTTTGATTGATTGGTTTGGTTGGTTGATTGGTTTAAATCATTTGATTTAATTAGATTTAAATCAGACAAATAAAAATCATTATTTAAATTGAATTATTTTATTTTGATTATTTATAATGATTATTTATTGATTAATCAACTGAAGTAAATTACACAAGCTAAATATAACTACTGAATAAATTATTTTGGTTATATATTTGTTGTATATCTTCGTATGTACTAGTTTTTTATGAAACAATTTTTTGTTATTATTATTGTGAGTACTGCTTGGATGTGTTGTCTGTCTTACTTGTTTTGAAATTTTTCTCTATTAATCTTTATTTTTGTCTTGACAACTGTCAAAATATGCTTCGTTCGATAAATAATTCTTCTTTATTCTAATGTACTTCATTTCTCCCCTCGGGTGTTCACTGCTCGTGTGTGACCATTCGGCGAATTTTATATGCCAAAGTTTTTAAACAATATTGGGCCTAGCCCGTAAGGGTTAGTGTTACGGTCATCGAGCACGACTATTTTCCATATCACAATTACTTTCACCGCGAAAGAGAATGTTTGTCTCTGGAAGATGCCTGGGCTCGCTTTTTAGTCATAACTCAGTTATAAATCCATGCATAGGTGTTTAATCCATTATGGTTTTCTGGAGTATGACTGGGCTGGCTTGGTGTAGTTCAGAGATATATCTTTTACGCTGGTTACTAACAACACAAGACTCTACTGAACTACATAAACGTACGTTATTTAAAAGCATTAAAACAAATACAGTGTATAAAGAGGGTAAACTTAATATAGTGTACCCAGATATAAAGAAAACAAATCATCTCCGCGAAAATTTTTTTTTCGTGCTCAGCGTAGTTAAGAAATGATCCTAACGTGTTGCTATTCTTAAAAACAAAACTTTACATTTTTGAACTTTAACTTAATGTGTTTTAAACTTGTTTTTTTTTTACAGCCTAAATAAATAAAAATTCAAGTTAAATTTAAAAATTTATTCAAATAGCTATTTTGCAAAAACTTTAAACTATTTTTTAAATAGTTGTTTTAGCTGTATTACTGTTTTTATTAAAAAATATTTATACTCAATAAAAACCGTTAGTTGCTAGGTTCGCAAACGGCTCTTCAAAATTATTCTTACCTTAATTTACTTCTTCATTCCGATCATTGCTGTATCCTTTATTACTAGTTTTATTAATATTCATTTATAACTTGCTAAAACTAATTTTGTCTGAGACATATAATGAATAATAACTTTGCGTGTTGTCAGAGAATATAACTTAAGTTTATACCATTTTGAAGACAAGGAAATGGAATAAAGTTGCTTAATGTTTACATTCCTTTTGTTTTGCTTTCTTAGGAAAATAACCAAAGATTTTGTTTTAATAATATGAATAAACATGAAACTGTATTTTTATTATTTTTTATTTTTCATTACTATTACATTATTAAATTATTACAAAATAAAATATATACATAATTATTACAGTTTAGTAATTGGATTTAATAAACAAATTGTTAAAAAATTAAAATACATGAAGCTCAAATTTAGTTCAAAATTTCAAGGGTAAAATATAACAAAGATTTATTAGCTAATATACTACAAAATTATAAAGATTAAGACAGTGAACAAACAATCAAGTATTATAAAGTATTACACACTTGTAGTCCACATCCAAAGAGAAGTAGTAAATCGCTCTCATTGGTTCTTATGAGTTTATGATATCTTATGAAAGAAGACATTTGTTACTTCTTTTGATCGCGTCGTCTATAAAAAAATTAAAGTTACTTCTGAAGACTTTTTTACCATGATTTTGTTTGTATATTTCTTAAGAAATTTCACACATAAGAAATTTGTTAGAGTGATTTTTTTTTTAAAAAAGATTTAAAAAAATGTAAAAGCTTATTGATAGTTAGTGAAAGGCTCGATACAGATTATACCGTTTTATTCCAACAACAACAACTAGCAATAACTATACTCCTCTCTAGAGTAATATAGATGATGTAGATCTACTTCATATATCTTTAGGCTAATTACTCACGTTAACTGCTATAATAATGTATTTCATAATATTAATTATAATTAGGCATCAATTTTATATTATATTTTTTAATATTTAAATAATGCACATTATCGCACATATGAATTTTTTTATGCAGGTTTTGAAACATAACTATTTTTCAACTATTAACTAGTTTAAACTAATAATATTGTTATCAATTATTGGTAGCAATATTAATCTTTTAAGGCTGTTCAGCTTCTATTATACTTTCTGTTTCAGTTTCCTCTAATTAAACAAAGTTTGAAACGTCATTATCTAAAAAAGTGTAACATTATTTTTAAAATAAATAATACTATTAAGGGCCTACAACGGGTTACGTATGTGATGTGATGGGGCACAATACCCATTTTTTGAAAGAAGTTTTAAAAAAAAAAAAAAATAAACTACAAGGCAAATAAGAAGTCTTAGAAAAAAAATGTGGCTGGTGGGTGGCGGGGGCAGTGTCTCCCTTGCTTTTCTAGAACCGTGTGCCCTTCCATACTATAGTGTAATGGAGAATAATTTTAATAAACATTATTAACTAGAACTAAGATTTTCTTTATTTTTTCTTTATTTAGTAATGATCTGAATAGTATGCATTTTAAAACTGAGTATTTGTACACAAATCTAGCTCTCCTTTAAATATAAATATAAAATATATCTATATTAAAATTTGTCTAAGACTAACTATAATTAAAAACTAAATGTACTCTTTAGATCTAAGTAAATCAAAAATCTGTTTTTCAACAATATAGGCTTTAATTTCAATTTAAATAAATTGCTTTAATAAGGATTTAATTAACTGATCTTCACTTTTAACTTTCTTTTTTTTTATGTAAAAAAAAAAAAAGGATTTACAAAAAAATTGCAGAGAGAGCTATGTGACCCTAACTTTTCTGTAGGCCAAAATTTGTTATGTTTGTAAAAATCAAATTAAACGAGGAAAAGTAGCGCAAAAGTTAGCTCGCTCACCTCAGAAGCATAAGATCGGTGTTTCGAGGCCGAATCTGGGCGGCTTTTATGACATCAGTGAGGAAGAAGACGTGAACTTCCTTTTAAATGCTCGCCCGCGTCGCTCTGTGATAAGACCGTAAGTACTTTTTCGATCACTTAAAATAAAAAACAAAAGATATAAAAAAATTATTTACACTCTTTTTCATCAATTTTGAGGACAACACTTGAGTTGATGTTGTCCTTTTCATTCAGTGACTGTGTGGCCACTTGAAGATTGCACTTCTTTTTCTTAGTGTGAATGTCTTTTCTTTTTGTGCTACTTTCGAGATTGTGTTTAACATCAGTTTTTTTTTCTTCAAATGGATCCCACGTACGATCTGTTTCATCTTTTGTTAAAACACAACCTAAATAAAGAAAGCTTTAAGTTTATTTTGCAAATTTAAATGTAAATCAAAAGTTGAAAAACGTGTCAGAGATAAAATTTTTATATCTTAATTCCTAAAAACTTTCTTTTAACTTAAAGATCAATCTAACCATTTATCATGATATAACGAAAAAATATCATCTCTGCGATAATTTTTTTTATTTTTGCTTAGCGTAGTTTAGGAGAGATCCGAACGTGTTGCTTTTCTTAAAAACAAAGTTTCAATTTTTTGTGTTTTAAACTAATTTTTCGACTTTTACATTTTTCAAAAGTAGAATTTAAGTTTTCCTTATATTTATAGTTTTTTTTTTAAATCTTTTTTTAACCAAAGTATCAAGCAAGACAAAACTACCACTAAAATTAATGAAACGTGACTTGGCAGCGTCATTAAAACTGCTGAAAAAAATGTGTTAAGTATTTCCATTTCAAAAATGTCTCTTTCTTTCGAAAGTAAAAAGACTTCTTGTTTGCAGCTTTAAAATAATCAATAAAGGTGAGTTTCCACTCATCCGTTTTTTCACGGGAACGGGAAAAAACGCATGATCACGTGATTATTACGCATGCTCACGTGATTATTTTTCCCGTCCCTTTCCCATTCCCGTGAAAAAACGGATGAGTGGAAATTCGCCTTTAATGATTAAAAACCTCTTATTTTATCTTTCCGTAAACAGTAAAAACGTTAAAATAGAAGTTTTCACATTAGTTTTCACTTATAGCAATTTACTTCCATAACCTCTTTATAGTCTTTTAATTAAATTACTAAATAGAAACGTTTTTGCTTTTATATAATTTCTGCCATATAGTTTTAAGATAAAACTTCAAACTTGTTGATAATAAAATCACCGAATATTTGTAAAGAAAATTAAACATTGAGCTTCCTGGGCTGACGTCGCGGGTTTTGAAGTGGGGGGGAAGGGGTGCAATCATCGATTTGTGAAAAAAGTCCTCTTATCAAAATTTTTCTTTGAAAAAATTAAAATTAAAATAAATAAAAAAACAGTCCTTTAGAAAAAAAGTGTGTGGGGGAGGGCTTTCTGGTCCCCCCTCAGTGTCGTCGGCCCTTGCTTCGTGATATTTTTAAAAATTAAACTTATTAAAACGTACACAAAATAAAACGGCATTTTTTGGAAACAAAAGGTCCCAAACAATTTTTTTTTTTTTTTTTTAGATCTTTTCTCAACTACGCTGAGTGCGTAAAAATGGTTTTGTAATTACATGTTGCCCCTATATAGTAAGACTGTGCCTGGATCTAAAACGTAATCAAAAGTTATAAATAGCTTTTGCAAGGCCGACGACACAGGGTAGCAAAGGGGCTTTTTTTTTCAAAAAGATCTTTTTTTTTAAGAAAAATCTATAGATAGAGGACTTTTTTCACAAACTGATGATTGTGCCCCCCTCTCCTTCAAAACCCATGTCTTCGTCCCTGTTTTGCAATGAATAAATATACAAAAAAGAAAGATTTTTTATTTTAAATAAAAAACTGTTTTATGTATAATTATTTTTAACTCTTTTTTAAACAGGCGGGAAATTTGCTAGCTTTTAGCTAGCAATATTTTTAACATATTTTTTTTTCAGAATAATTATTAGGCAAAAAAATTTTTTGAGTTTAGTCGACAAAAAACAACAGCGTCACCGTTCCCCATCCACCCCTGCTTTAAAACTCTTCGGACGGCCCTGAACTGACTAGCTTTAGATTTAGTTTAAATGAAGTTTCGCAAGTTACCAACCGTTCAAGTTACCAGCTGATGTTATTGCAAAATAACTGTAATAATAAAAAAACGGTGGCGTGCACTCATTTTTGTTCAATTAAAAAAGAAAATTCAGTAACAACCCACAGTCGTTTAGATATTAGTAAAAAGCGCTATGTTTAGGTACGCATGCGCAAGAAAATACAAAAAACTTTTGAACTTTTAAAATGGCTACGGTTCTTAACTACAGAGAATATTTTATATGGCAACAGTTCACTTGTTAATTAATTTCTGAAAAGCCAATGATATAGCCTTATTTTTAACGTAAATCAATAAAATAATACAAAAATTTCACAAAAATCTTTGCGCGCTTAAACTGTATTTTTACTTAATACTTTTTCAGTGTAAATCATAGATTTGTTTATTTATTTGAAATCAATTTTCTAAAAATTTGACTGTAGGATTTTAATAATTTTTTTTAAAACTTCAGATAAATATGTGCTATATGTATGATAGTCATAACAGTTAAAACAAATTTTTATATTGAAAAAAAGTTAAAGCAATCACCAGAAAATATCATACATATAGAACATATTTATCTGAAGTTTAAAAAAAAAAAATATTGAAATCCTACAGTCAGATTTTTAGAAAATTGATTTCAAATAAATAAACAAATCTATGATTTACACTAAAAAAATATTAAGTAAAAATACAGTTTTAGCGCGCAAAGATTTTTGTTACCTCAATTTACTTATATTTTTGTGAAATTTTTGTATTATTTTATCGATTTACGTTAAAAATAAGGCTATTTCATTGGCTTTTCAGAAATTAAACTGTTGCCATATAAAATATTCTCTGTAGTTAAGAACCGTAGCCATTTTAAAAGTTCAAAAATTTTTCGCATTTTCTTAGGCATGCGTACCTAAACATAGCGCTTGTAAAGGACCGTGAACCAGGTGATTCAGTAAAACTAATATTGAATATTTATTAAATATTATTGATATTTAATAATATTAAATTGCTTTAATATTATTAAAGCAATTTTTATAAAATATTGAAAAAATTTTAACTGAATACTTAATAAAAAAAAAGAAATTTACAAAATTTATGAAATGCTATTATAGCAATTACTTAAGTTGCTTAATGTTGGAATATAACTTAAGTAATTGTAGCATAAAACGAAGTTTTGACTAAAAACTTCATATTTTCAAAAACGTGTTTCGCCCAATTTGATTGACGTAAGGAAAAAAAGTGCAAACGCGCTATTGGTAATTTTAAATTTATCTAAAAATTATTTATTTATTGCAAAAGACTTCGCAAATGCCGTAAAAAGATACGAAAAAAAAAAAAAAAGTTTGAATAAAAAGCAACAAAGTACAATTCTAAGAGAATATTCTTAGTTAGGTTAGACAACTTCAGTTAATAATAAAATAAGACCTTCAATCTTCTGATAATATTAATACGCTAATATAATAGTAGGAATAGTCGAATTATATAGTAGTAATAGTAATAGTAGTAATAATTTAATAGTAGTAATAGTCGAATATATTTTCTAGGCTTTTCTATTTTAAACTAGTTTCTAGACTTTTCTATACGCGGTTTTTTTTTTTTTAATTTTATTTACTAACAACCCGTACTACGGGTTGCTTACTGCTAGTTAAAGTTAATAGCGTTAAGGAAGAAAATTAATTTTAATTTATCAGATTAATAAAAAAAATTTTTGAACTGATAATGCTTATTAGTTAATAATAAAGTTTATAAATAATAAACTTAATGTGCTGATACTATTGTACTAAATAATTAATTAGGTCTTATGAAACGCTACTATAAAATTTAGTTGCGTGAAGGTGAGTTTCCACTCATCCGTTTTTTCATGGGAACGGGATAGGAAAGGGAAAAATAATCACGTGAGCATGCGTAGTTTTCCTTCAGACATATTAAAACTTATACTACGCATGCCCACGTGATTATTTTTCCCGTCTCTTTCCCGTTCCCGGGATGAGTGGAAACTCACCTTTACACAAAGAGAGATTTTTACGAAATTTTATTATTTTATTTTACGAAATTTTATTAAGAACTTTTCTATAGCAAAAAGTGCAAACAAACAACTAGCAATTTTAAATTTAATTATAAATTATTTGTATCAACATGCGCCAAAAACTGACGAGAAAAGAAATAAAAATATATAATTTTTTTTTAAAAACTGTCACTATGTACAATTAAAAGAAATAATATTCTTAGTTAAATACAAAATTATTAATATATATTATCAGTTATATTATTAATAAAAATAATATATTAAATACTTTAACAAATAATATATTAAATACTTTTTTAAATTAAATACTTTAAAAAATAATATGTTAAATACTTTTTTTTTATAATAATAAAACTCAATAAACTTCAATCATTTATGAGAAAAGGATTTTCACTATGAGTAAAATGAAAGTAATCTGAATACGTCATATATAATATCTAATCAACTAAGTAGCTGGTCGTTAACAATAAAATTATTTAAGACGCTCCAAATTTGAAAGATTAAATTAATTTGAATGAAATTACAGTATATGCATTTTCCTAATTACACCGTGATTCTGGGTCGAACTGGTAAGGGAGGTTGAGATGGTTTCCCCCTCATCACGGGCCCCTTCTATGTGTGAAGGTTCTGGGCTTTACTATAAATCAAAATACACAAATAAAACACACACAAATACAAATTAATAATAAATAATTATTGTTAATATGCATCAGTTTCGTAAAGGCATTACAATAAATATGGTTATCTCTACGAATAAAATAAGAAATGTTCAATATAATATACTAAGACATCGTAAAGTGTCCTACAATTATTATTTATTCGTGGTAGAGTAGAGCAGTGCCGGATCAAGGGGGCTAGGGGGGCTAGGGCAAGTTTAGTGGCCCCCAAAAATTTTAGAGGAATTTTTTTTTTTAGTCATTTTTAGGCTCTGGCGCATAAAAAGGCCTCCAAAAATAAAAATAGACCCGGGCCACAAGAAGTCTTAGTCCGCCACTGGAGTAGAGAGTGTTAAGTTATTTTAAGTAAGAGACTAAATGATTAATTTAATAAAAAAAAGAATAAATTTTGTGTTTTTATCGAGTCATGCGTATAAATTTTTTACAAATCCAGGGCCCTGGAGAGGATAAAAATGTGGTGGTTCAAAATTTTGTTTGGGGCACCCTCAATATGATGATTATTTTATAAGGAAATGCAGAACCACAGCTGTGGAGTCGGGGTAGCGGAGTCATAATTGCGACATATTTAGCGGAGTCG